AGGAAACAACTTCGCCAAACTCTTCCATTAAGTTCACAAATATTTTCAATCACTGAGATTTAATTTCTGAGGGTCAGAAATAGTTCACCGAAGACCAAGAATGTTAGAGCTGAAAAGAGGAGTAACTCGTGTAAAAACAGCCACAGCTGAAAATGATCACAGTTAAAATATCATCATAGTGGGAATTATTAATTTCTTAACCCAAGAAGGGCTTAACGTTTGATGCACAGTAGTAGCCAAGGCAGAAAACAAACTAAGGGGTCAAACATTTGCCTTAAGTGATCCATTTATTAACATTCTTGAATTTTTTCTTTATCTCCAAAAGAAATACTGGTGTATTTATAAAGGATTCTTAATTTGTTGGATGTATTAAATTACGACAATAACATGCTGTACAACCTCCCATCATATCATATCCTATATTCACATGACCTAAGCTCCAAGGACAGGAAAACACGTTCAGGTTAGTAACATTTGCGTTCCATTAGAACTGGTTGGGGCAGGACCGCTGGACGTTAGCTTTGCTAGCTCGCTTCCCCCTAGGGTGCTCAAATGTTACATCTTCTAACCACCACACCCTCCTCCCATTTGCCTGCCAGGACAGCCCAGGGTTCCCCAGCCCCTCACTGCTCTGGCTACGTGGACATGAGGCTCTCTCCCACTAGACTGAGTTTCTCAAGCCTCACACCCCTCATTTTTAGTCCATAAACCTCCCTGCCGATCCCACAGAAGAAAATGCCCACAACTACCCAAGTCCATTTGCTCTCTGCATCTCCCTCTCTTCCACTGCATCTGCGCCAACAAAGGAGTCTTTCCATCCAAGGCCGATGCCTCCGCTGTGTCCCGGTGCTATCCGTTCCCTCTCAGGAACTCTTCTCTCCGCTCTCTCCATCCCGTAAGCATTTTACATGCATAAGCCTCCCAACTTAAACCAATTCTCCCTCCACCCCATTCTCTTCTCTCCTCCCAGTGTCCTTTCCCCTTGACAATGTCGTTTCTCAGAAGAGTCGCCTACACACACTTAGCTCCAATGGCTCACCACCTACTCTGCTTACTGAACACTGGCGTTTCCTCCCACCATTCCGCCAGCACTAAGTCAGACCCAACAACGCCCTGGTCCCAGGATCCAGTGCAGTCTTTTCAAGCTTCTCTCACCGGAGCAGCAAGCACTCCACACTCCCACCTCTCCCACCTTCTTGAAATAATTCTTGGCTTTGGCAGTACCCACACCTGACATGCTTACCCCCCTTTTGGCAATAATAATCTCGAGTTCTGACATCTGTATAGAATTAGATTTTATAAAGCATTTCCACAAGTGGCACATTTATCATTTAATAAATACTATGAATGAATGCATCATTTGATGTTTACAACCCCATAAGCTTACTACACAGGTTATTTGAGATGAGAAAAATCAATTCCATCAAAGTAATGCTGTTAAAAGTCAAAAGAAGCCACCTCCCAACTTAAAAACCTATGATCCTTACAATGCACGAACAGTTAAAAATATTCAAATTCCACATCTCAGAAAAACGAAGACAGGATTGACTGATCATCTTGCAGAAACATGAAGGCCGGATGATACATAATATCCCCTCTGAACAGGCTGGCTAAAACCTCTCAGATCCTCCTTTCATCCGTTATCTTACGGTAAGCCTCTATAAAACTTCATATTTAACATTTCCAAGGCTCAAACGGTATGCTCACAGCAGACATCCGGCGAGCACTTGAAAACATTAGCTTCAGTAGTTGATCAACGGCTGCTATAAACAACATGTGTAAGTCATTTCTCCCCCTTCTAAAGAAAAAGTCAGCAGCTGTTTGCTAAAAAGTTTTTTTTTTTTATTGTGGATGAAGACATCGCCAACTCACATATATCATTTTTATTTGGAGTATTTTTTTGCCTTGCAGTGCTCCTGAGAAATTCAGAAATGCATTGACTTAAGTTTTATAAAATACAACCCAATACTATAGTTGGGTTATAAATTTCCCCCATTTAGTTATTTCCCTAAAAATCAAGACAATTTATCAATTTTAAGTACAGAAACCTAATAAGTTAAAAAGTAAACACTGGCAAATAATCACAAATGTCAGAACATTAAAAGTGTCTTTACTTTTTCCATAGGAATATATAAAATAAATATCAAGTATAACTGACTTGATATTTACAAAATTAAATTTCTTAATGGAAGACGCTTTAAATACTTTGATATATGAAAAACTTCATTAGCTTTATAAATCAAATTCAAATGCTCTAAGTTTGATACATAATAACTTTCTCTAAGTATTCTCATCCCATCCCTGTCCCTGAGGACACTTTTATATTTTCAACCTAATGTTCAAATAAGTTATTTTGAGAACGTTTTCCTCACTTTTGATAAACCACTGAATGGTTAAAATAAACTGGAGGCTTTATTTGAGGGGATATTTAATATTTTAAGTGGCTTATTTTAAGGAATTAAATTCTTTCCCCTACTTTTTTTCTCTTAAATAAATAATGGCAGGAAACTAAAATTCAAACAGCCATATGATACAGAATTGTACTAAATCAAATTCAATGTCTGGCTGGATTTTCTATTATAGTATTAACAGTTGAAAACCATTAGGAATGTTGTGAAAAACTGTGGCAGCTAAAGCAAAATTCAACCACAAATCCTAGTAAGTTTGCAGAAAAGTAAACAGTAAAATTACTGTCGTTAAACTACTGCAGTAAATTATTGTTAGAAATGTCCTATTGCTGACATTAGAATTATATGCCTCATCATTGTATGGCTGGTTACTAAGAAGATTCCTTGAGCAGATGGTTCATCTCTGACACAACTTAGTTTCAGGAAAGTAGATGAGTTATGTCTGGTTTAGATCAACAAACACTTAGTATGCATACCAGTCAGCTATAGTTTCAATGATGATATGACTGAAACATTAGGTACTACAGCTTCAGTTCAAGGTCACATAATTAAATAGCAGCCATGTAAGGTCATGCTGTATGCCCATAACAGCTTTCAAACTCATGTTAAACTATGGGGTGAAGGGAGATAGGCTGTTTTGAATCGGGAAGGAAATACTTAAGATGTCATAAAAGGCATTTAAAATATGATGACATGCTACTTAAATACCCACTACTTAAATTTTAATTTTCAAATTATAGGAGAAAAACTCTTTGCATTTTCTATTTCTTCAAAATAAAGGATCATGTCTTTTTTTTTTTTAACTCAGAAATTTTTATTTCAGATGCTCCACACTGAAATGAAACTTCAATGGCAAGCAGCAAATAATTTAGGCCGGTCAGTGAAAGTACGTTTGAAAGGATCCCAAGAGTAATAATTTTATAAGAGAAATAATGGGCAAAGCAGACAGGAGGCAGTTTGGCAGTTCTAATATAGAACTGGATGGCCACTCCTTAAGTACCCTAAATAAAGAATGGCAATATAAATAAGTTAGCTAAGGAGAGGGGACGTAGTGAAGCAGCAATGTCTCAGTTACTGAATTTCTCAGAAAAACCAGTTTCACCCATCAGCACATAAAGACTTCCAATCTCCTAAATACAGGAGGAAGTATACAGTTCATCCCAGCAAAATTTACAAATGATCAAATTTAGCCCTGGCCGGAGCCAGAACTATTTACATATTTGGATTAATATCATTTCCACCTTTCCTTGTTATACAGATGTTTCTATTTTAAAGGCATACTGAAATTTACAAAATTTGCAAAAAAAGGTCTTTAAATATACAACTTCAACAACTAATACAAACATGAACATTCTCATTAAGTTCCAAGCCAGGATTTATGACAGGATTATAAAAAATTAAAGAAATACTCCCTTATTCTTAAGTTCCAAACACCAGGTGCTGGTGTTGCTGAAGTAATTCCACTGCCCTTGATGACTGTGAAGATGCGAGCGGACAACTCCTGGACTGACATACGGTACCTCTCACGTGGACAGCTCAGCCAGAGGAAGGAGGGGCCGTGTTTAGTGATATTACTAATTATAGTTCTGTAAATGCACCTGTATGATTTAACACTTACATGACAGTTGTGTGTATAGGTGTGAAAAAACAAGTACCGGTAGTTTTAAGATGATAACTTTAAAAAGATACCTTAGCTCTTAAAAACCAAATCATATACCCATAGTATGCACTTGACAATAAAAAGAGAAAGGCTGATACATGCAATAATTTGGATAGATTTCGAAGGGCATTATACTGAGTGAAAAAAGTCAATCTCAAAAAAGGTTCCATCGTATAGGATTCCATTTACATAGCACTCTACAGGATGGGAGAACAGTGAGTGGTTGCCACAGGTTAAGGGAGGGGCTAAGGAAGGAGGTGGCTATGATGTAAAAGGGCAGCACGAGGGGTTCTTGGTGTATCTTTTCTGTAGGGGAGGTCACATGGATTTACACATAGAACAAAATACACATAGAACAAAATACACATACATTCCCCCTCAGGACACATATGTCCTCCCAGGGGCAACCTTGCTCTTGTCCTGTCTACACCAAGTCCTCTATACAGATGGTTACTATGTAATCATCTTATAAATTTTCTGCATGATGCAGCGAAGCCATAGCTATCTATTACTTCTTCCTTTTCTTTTTTCTTTTCTTTTTTTTTTTTTTTTGTAAATCTCATGATTATCTTTAAAAGACAACCATGTATCTCGATTAGTCTAAATTAACTTGAAAATCAGAGAAGAAAATTAAAAGCTGACATATAGCTACTTTTATTTTACTTACTTCCGTAAGTTAAGATTAAAAAATCAAATGTTTCTAGCCTGAATTAGGTTAAATTAGAGAAGGGAAAAAATATATATATAACAAACACTTCCTCCTGTGACACCTGTAATTTCTAAAAACAATAAGAATATGTTTTATTAAATTTAAAGAAAGTACAACTGCAAACAAATACATGACTTTTTCCAAAAGGCCACTTCGTGATAAAGAACCTACGTTTAGTGTTTCTCTAAAGTGCTGTGCATGTCATCTCTGGCTTGAGAGTCATCTATTGATTCAAAAGGTCCTTCAACACAACCCCGGCACTGTTGTCAGGCGACACTGGCAAAGGCGTAAACGTGGGCAGCACATCTGAGATGGGTTTCAAAAGGAGGTGCCCAGGCCCACCAGGTCCAAGTCCAGCCGGGTTCATGAGAGGCACAGCCGCAGAGCGGGGAGCCAAGAACGGACTCACATCTGTTCTTCTCCCAGACCTGGCTTCTGTCGTATCTGAATGACAAAATGTGAATTATTTAGTCTCCTATTTGTTATTTATTCAGCACTATACAAGTGTTTGAGGTTCTAAGATTTGAACCCTAAATAAATTTAATTCATATGCTGCTGGGTCCTGGATCCAATGCACAGGGTCTATGAAATAAAGGAGGAGGAGAGAAAGAAATGGGAGAAAGGAAACAGGACAGAAAGACATTTTTGAATGTGTTGCTAATACTTCATTAAACTCATTAATGTTGTCATTTTACATTTAAATATAAGTTACATAACTGATAAACTTAATTTACTACTGAAGGGGAACAAAGTTTTGCCTCTTAGGACATTGATTTCTAAGCGGCAATTGACTCAGAAAGAACTTTGAGCCTCCCTCTGCCCTGCCCAGGAGATTCGGAGGGAGAGACGGCCCCAGCAGGGGCTCTCGGGAAGCTGGACTGTGTGGTAAACAGGAGGACTTGGGCAGGGCCTGCTGGCTAGATGCCCACCATGTCCCAATGTACTTGATTGCTGAGCAAGGATTTTCCTGCCACGGGCGCTCTGGTCTTCCTCAACTACCTGCCCATTCTCACTTCTGACACCTGAGAACCCTGCCCGTCCCCGCTTTCTCTGCTGTCCAAAACTTCATGTGTATCCAGTGCTGCCTGTCTTTGGAATTCTCATGTGTATGTGAGCACCCTTCCCATGTACATATATTAAAAATTTGATTTTATCCTATTATTTTGACTGTTAATTTATTAGTCCAGATAAAAGAATTCAGAAGGTGGGAAGAAAAGTATTTTTTTTAGCTCCCACACTACAACAAATCCAGGATCAAAAACTAAACTGATCCTGCAACTCCTGGAGCAATCAAAACATTGCTGGAGTCTGATTAGTACAAATCAGCTGGTGCAGGACTTGTAACACATACTGTGGTACCACCAAACTACTTGCTTCCAGGCACATCTTTCATTATATAAGAATGCTTCCTAACATTCTTGGATATCTAAGCCAGTTTATTAAACGACTCTTATAAATATTATTAACATACCAAGGTTGGGGTACTGAGCATAACAGATTTTCACAGGGGAAAAAATTATTTCTCTAACTGTAAACTACACTTCTCTGATTAGAAATAAGTACCATGAGTGCGAAAGGAAAACAGGTGCCCAAACAAAGGCTTACCATTTAATCACCTTTTCCAAAAGAATAATTCAAAGTGGCTTATGCAGAGAAAACAATGATACCAATATTCAAAGAAAAATATTACATATTTTTTAAATTAATCTAAGCCAATTAAATATCAGGTTACCACAAGACTATATGAAACCAAAATATAATGTCTTATTGGAATTTTAGAAGAAATCACTGCACATTTTCAAAAACATTAAAAATTTAGTTAATACTGCTGTGAAACATCGAAACTTAAACATTTCATTTCTTAAATTGAATAAATAAATATCTGGTTTTACCTTTAAAGCTTTCCGGTACATTTATATCTATTTTTCTTCTTCTTGGTGAGTCTAAAGGTTTCATATCATGAACAGAAAGCTTTGGTGGTGGAATAGACGGATGAGATTCTGTTTCTAGAAATTTAACAAAAAGTTCTGAAAAAGACTAAAAAAAAAATATTTTAGTCATATTAGGCCAATATTAAAACTGTATTCGCTACAACTCAGAAAATATACCAGTATTCTAATTAAATATTAAAAACTAATCATGCCATCTGAAATATCTATCTATCTATCTATCTATCTATCTATCTATCTATCTATCTATCTATCCTATCTATCTATCTAAAAGCCTAAGTGATTAGCCAACTGGCTGGTAGCTATGCTGCACAATGATTATCGGGGGGCAGATGCTCAACACAGAAGCTGCTGAGCAACAGCAACTTTGTAGAGAGCCTCTCGCACTCTGGGAACCCTAGGGGGGATGTCGGACTGCCGGTTTTGGCCCTATCTCCGAAAGCCAGTACCCCATCTGCCAGAGGGACCCCGCTCAGTCCCCTGATGCCCCAGAGCCACTCCAGTGCAGATGGCCAGGGAGGGACTGCGGGAGGTTCACTCCAGGGCGTGTCCGGCCCATCTTCCTCGGTCCCACCCCACCGACCACCTTCTAATTAATTTCCTTTCAATGTGCACGAATCCATGCACTGGGCCTCTAGTTTCTTTATAAGCTTTATGAATAATTAAAATGCTAGCACTTTTAACCCCCTGGCAATGAGCAAGGAGACACCTGATTGGTGGTATTGCTCTTATATCGATCAGGGGCAAGGCAGATGTACAGTCCTTAGTTCATCCTAGCTTGATGCCTGTGTCAGTGGCCAGAACTGTTTCATGCCTGAGACACATAAAATTATAATTCCCAGTTCTTGGAGGGGAAAAGATAAAAAAAAAAACTGGTCTCATAACAAGTAGATTATTAATATTAACTGAGGCTTAGGAGGGAATGTAGTTTTAAAATGTTTGTGGAGACACTGTAATTAGTCTAGTAACTTCCAGATAATAGTAAGTAGATAGTTCTAGCACAACTCCATTAAGAGTGAACATGTCACCTAACAGTTTTTGTGGCAGTTGTGCAAATGGATATATGTCATTCTGCACATAAAACTGGATGCTATGAGAATAATAAGTGGATCACTATTGACTTAGTGAAAATTGGGTGGAGGTTTAGTATGGTAATATTAATATTGTAATTATTTCAGAGGGCGGTTACTGTGAATCATATATTCCTAGGAGCCAGAATGTGTTCAAATCCGGAGTCTCTGCCATTTAACTGTCAGTATAGTCTTAGATGCATTTAAGCGGCCTGCTTCTCACCTGAAAAGTGAGTTTCAGTGATGGTGCATATGAGTTGTTGAGAAAAATAAAACACGAGAAGTACTTAAAATAGGGCCTGGCATTGGTAGCCAATAACATATACGTGAGCAATTATCTTCTCCTGGGTTCAGGAAAAAAAATGCTAGCACTTTGGTGACAGAGGTATCAAGTAAAAACTTTAACATAATAATTTCTGATGACAACACTTCACAAACCTATGGTTAGAATTAGTCACCTGTTAACACTTAGATTTCTTAAATAATTTCAATAACTTTATATACACAGGCAAACTTGTATTGACAGAAAACAAATATTAAACTCATTCTTCTAAAGTAATACACAATCAGTGAATATACAAAAGCTCACCAGTAACTTTATTAGATTAAAATCATGCAGTGTAGACCTTTCCTTTAAACTTTAGGCCACCCCATTTAAACAGGGTTTTATCTTTATCAAGTTGTGGGTAGATCACCTATCCTCAGTTTCTCTTCATTAAAAAATAAAGAGAGAGAGAAATAAACTCTACATTCTATCTCACAGTGTTAGGCCATTCAATCAGCCCACTATGTAACAGGCACTATTTTTCATGTTTATTAACTATCTGCCTCCTCCAACAAGAGGAAGTTCGGCGAGGGAGGCACTGTATCTGGTGTGCTGCTGCATGCCCAATGCTTAGCATTCTCAATGCTTACAATAGTTGGGTACACAGCAGGTGCTCAATAAGTACTCATTGACTCAATGACTAAGTAAAATCTCATAATTTAGTAGTAAGACAAATGACTGTATGCTTATAGCACTATGATTAAATACAAATAAAGGAATACTACTATGAAAAATAAAAGTGCTATATAAATAATAAGATATTAAAATAAAATCTATATGTAGTAAACTTATTATACCTGGCTTATTATCCTTAAGCTAGTTACATCTCTGGATCTCAGTTTCTAGAACTTCAAAATAAAAGGGCTGTATAAAATCACCTAAAAGAGAAATCTGATTCTTGCCAATGAATGTGATGTACTATCATTTGACTATTCATATTCAGCAAAAATAAAGTCAGCTCTTACACTATTGAACACAGATTGCTGATTTGGTCTCAGAGGTGTGTTGGGGACACTTTTTGATCCTCCTCCAAGCCACCCAGTCATCCATCTGGTAACTCCGCCCTGATCTTCATTCAACAACTGAAAAATTATTTTAAAACAGAAAAGTGTTATCAGTACAAGAAAAGAAAAAATAACCATATTTCAAGTCCAATTCTTAGCAATTCTTAGTGAGAGAGGCTATAAATACAATGAAATCTTGAATAAAAGTTGAGAACTATCAAAATTTCAGGAGAAGAGGGGTGGCATATAAGTTATAAAATATTTAAACTGATATTATACAAATTGCACAAGTCCACACCTTTACTGTAGTATGAAATTATTCCATTTTCAAATTATTGAGAAAATTGTATTCAGGAAAAGTTATATAATATACAGTAAAAGAAAACTTTATATGATGCCACTACTTTAGTTAGAAATGTATTTTATTATTTTTATAGGCTTTTATTATTCAGTTACCTGCTCCATATCCTCCCTTTTGATACCCAGAATGCTTCCCATTAATCTTAACACTTCATGACGCTGGTTCTTTGGTGTGTGGAAATGTCCAATGAAGAGGTTTCTCATTAGGATTCTATGAAAATAAAGGCAGAAACAGCTCAAGGTAACTCTATAAGCTCTCCCCAATATTTAGTGTACCGAAATAATAAATAGGTGCTAAGCATATAAATACTTAATTAGACTTAAATAATACTTAATTATAAAAAGCATTACCTGTATTTTCCGGCGTATAAGACGACCCCCTAATTTTACAGTTAAAACATAGGTTTAGGCCTATATTTGCTGTATAAGACTACCCCCCACTTCAAAGAAAAGACTTACTTGGCCGTCAAGATCTGCAGGTAATTTTTGTGCAATTTTGGTCTTTTGTCCCCGATTTTCGGATGACTTTTTTTCGTTTCAAAAGTCGTCTTATACGCCGGAAAATACAGTAAGCATATTTTAAAGTAACATTTAAAAATTTTTGATGTGTCTAATTAAGAATATTTCAAACAACTCAAAATTATACCCAGAAAACATAACTTATTATGAAACCACTTCCTTCAACCAATCAATCAACTGAGATGGTGACCATTAGCAATACTCAGTGCCTAGCTGCATTGATGTCAACCTTAAGGAGACACTTCAAATTTTCCCACCCCACCTGGTGATGACAGTTCACATGCTTCATGGCTATGTTTATATTTCCCCATTCACACTTGATTTGAGATCTAATACATTTGAGCAAAATATGCTCATTTAAAAACAGTAAAAAGAGCAAAAAAGCCCTGACTGGTGTGGCTCAGAGTGTCGTCCCATGCACCAAAAGATAGCATGAGACGATTTTTAGTCAGGGCAAATGCTCAGGTTTCAGGCTCAACCCCCAGGAGAGGGTGTGCAGGTGGCAGCTATCAATGTTTCTCTTTCTCTCTTCCTCTCCCTTCCTCTATTTAAAAGAATGGTAAGAATAAACTTTTTATTTTCTAAGTATGGTATTGTTTTAACTTTTCCATATAGTTTTAAGAAAAAGAATTTGAGCTGGAAAAATCTATTTAAAAGCCAAGAGAAGTCCAGTCAGTGTGGCTCAGTGGTTGAGCATCAACCTATGAACCAGGAAGTCATGGTTTGATTCATGGTCAGAGCACATGCCCAGGTTACACTCTCAGTCCCCAGTGAGGGGCATGCAGGAGGCAGCCAATTGATTTTCTCATTGATATTTTTATCTCTCTCTCTTAAATCAATAAAAACATATCCTAAGAAAAATAAATAAAAGCCAAAAGAAAAAAAAAATACTTTACTGTTTCATTAAAACTACATATATCTCATCATTGTATAAGAAAAAGAAGATTTTTAAAAAAACCCAATCCTATCTAATAAAGACAGAATATGTAAATTGATGCCACAAAGATGGTGACGCCCATAGCCACAAGACGGCGGCACCCAGTCCTTTCAGCCCTGCCAGAGGGAGTGGGTGGTGGCATGTGCTGGTGTGGCCGGACCTGCCCTCAGTCCCCCAGCCACCCAGGGCTGACCCAAGGCAGAGGCAAGCCTGGGATGTCGGCTGCCCAGCTGGCGCCCAAGGCACAGGCAAGCCTCAGATGTCAGCCGCCCAGCCGCCCAGGACTGCCCAAGGCTCAGATAAACCAGGGCAGACTGAGGTTTGTGCTGCGGATTGTGCTGCCAGCAGTGGCAGCAGCAGATGGGGGTGTCACCTTCCCTACTGCCGCCTTCCCCTGACTGTCGGGTCACCTCCCACCCGAGGGCTCCTGGACTGTAAGAGGGGACAGGCCAGGCCGAGGGACCACCTCCTCCAGTGCTGGGCCTCTAGTTACATATACACATCTACATGTAGCAGTTTTACCATAAAAGGAGTCTTCATAAAATACATAAAAGTAAAAAGAAAGAGCATACTTGTCTACTTTTCCTTCTGTGCTGTTTACTAAGTTCATCAATTTTTTTTGTACATCATCCAGCATTTCTTGTCGGAGCTCATCTGTTTTAAAACATGAATAAAGATAGTCATTAACTGATTAAAACAATCTGGATGAATATGTAATGAGATTTAGGACAGCTTTGCTGTGTATTCTGAATGTACGTACTTATTCAAATTGGGACATTCAATGACTTCCATTTCATCTCTTCTTTGATTTAGTGGATTAGGTTTGCTGGTACAGAATCTACCTGGAAGCTAGGGTATGAATTTACTCACACAGTTTACCCTCAATAAAATAATCAATTCTTTAGCAGAAAATATAAAAATCAAAGAAGACGATTTTCCTTCACTTCAGAAGCTTAATAGCAAAGAAGAGATTTCCCCCACTGCTTCCTTGCAGGAAACATTTCCAAGCCCTCATTAATGGGAAGAAATGGAAAGGACAATTTTTAGATTTTCCTTTTTCCATTTTCCTGGCTAGACTCTACTTTTCACAAGCTACAAAAAGTATGTAACAAAACTAAGGCCACAGCTCTGGATGTAGCTCATAGGGCAAATTCTGGGGTTAAAAAAATTGCAAAATACAATTCATATAACTGGTTCTAACATACTAATCAAGATACTATAACTTATGATGACTCAGAAGGATGTTTGGACTCTTTTATTTTCAAATTCTTACTTTAAAAGAAAGCAGAATCTGTAAAATGTTGGTGGAATAGTTCAAATTTGAGCAGTATTAAAAGCAAAGTCTAGAATTTCAACAGGAAACAATACTCTGTTCATAAATCCAACCATGCCATAGGGCCAAGAATTCCTAGACTAAGGAACTCTCAGCCAAACCCATGGAGTTTTCACCTATTACCTCAGAAATGAACAGTCTGAGCTGAAGGAGATGCTTATTAACCTCAAGCTACATTATACATTTCATTCCGAAAGAAATGAAGCCTGCTCTGCCTCAGAGCTCCATTTTTCAAATTAAGAGACACATCCACACACTACACTCTGACCTCTTTCCACAAACCTACTCTGACTTATGCTGCATTTTCCTAGTAGTAGCTGGATACAAGTTCCCTTAGCAGAGATACGACTTGCAAATATTTTCTCCCCCTCTGCGGGCTGTCTTGTCATTTCACTTTCTTTGATGGTGTCTTGAAGTACAAAAGTTTTTAGTTTTGCTGAACTCCCAATTTTTTTTTTTGTTGCTTGTGCTTTCCATGTCAGAATAAAGAAACTCTTGCCTGACTCAATGTCACAAAGATTTAGTACTGTTTTTTTTTTTTCTAAGACTTTCACAGTTTTAACTCATTTATCTCTATGACCCATTTTGAGTTATTTTTGTGCATGGTGTAAGGTAGTTGTCCAACTTTGTTCTTATGTATGTGGAGATCCAGTTGTCCTGGTACCATACGTTGAAAACTATTATTTTGGCACTCCTGTTGAAAATGTATTGACTATAAAAGTATGGTTATAGACCAGGAGGTCACAGTTCGATTCCTAGTCAGGGCACATCTGCCCAGGCCCAGGCCCAGGCTCTATCTTCAGTGTGGAATGTGCAAGAGGCAGCCAATCAATGATTCTCTCTCATCATTGATGTTTTTATCTCTCTCTTCCTCTCTGAAATCAGTAACATACACACACATATATATATATATATATATATATATATATATATATATATATATATATTTTAAAGTATGGCTTATTCTGGACTTTTAACGCCCACTGCAAGACTTCTGTACGTGATTTTTTTGTCTGCCTGAAAAGCTCTTTTCCACTGGCACTACCTATTAACCCCCTAGCCACCCTGCACATCTTAGTTCCTAGGTCGCTTCCTCAAACAAGTTTCCTCTGGACCTACAGATTGAGCCAAGTCCATTTGCTTTCTGTTTTTTGTGTGTTTTTTTTAAATTTTATTTAAAAAAAAATTTTTTTTAATATTCCATTGTCCAGGTGTTCCACAGTTTATCCATTCACCTACTGAAGAATATCTTTTTTTAAATTATTTTTTTTACTAAATTATCATCTGTGTACATATTTTACCATTGCCCCTCCTCCCCCCTCCCCCCAATACATACCCACCCTTCCCAGAGTTTTGTGTCCATTGGTTGTACTTATATGCATGTATACAAGTTCTTCGGTTGATCTCTTATCTCTGCTTTCTGTTTTCATCTGTTAGGACAATGACTAAAATTCAGACTTACGTATAGTACTAAATATATATAGAAAATATCCAGTTTAACTGTTTGCAATGCCTTATGGGTTTTCTAAACTGCCAAAATCTAAATTGCAAAATGTAGTAATTCATATAATAGGCTAACTTTACCAAAATAGAGATGGTTGCCATAACCATATTATAAAAGTGAGGCTTGTGTTTGGAAAATTTATTATAGTTTTCTTTCTTTCCAGTAAGAAATTTAATCTTGGAGGGGATGGGGGGGGGGAGAGGGGGAGAGGGGGAGAGGGGGAGAGAGAGAGAACGAACACGAACACAAGACTGCTATTAAAGTTGGAGCCAGTAAAGACATTTTAGATTATTAATGTGCACATATATACTATGAACACATGGTGTTCTTTGGGCTTTTCTAGTACTACATTCTGAATATAAATAGAACTCTCAACTAGTCAGAGGAAAAATAGCAAGTAACTTAACCATTGTGAATTAACCATTCCGCTCATGAGCTAAAGTCAGACCAGAGTCAAGATGAACACAGTCTTTGCTTTCTCTCCTTCCCAAGGTGAAGAGAGACAGTAGAGAAAAGATCAAACTTCTCCTGACCCTACCCTTCCTTCCTCTCCAGGATTCCCTTCTCTTATCTACTTTCTTTTAATATTTAATAATTTTTATATTGATTACATATCAAAATGATATTCCTGACATATTGGGTTATATAAAATATAGTACTAAAATTAATTACCTTTTTAATGTGGTTACTAAGAAATTTAAAATTATACATGTGGCTTGCATTATTTTTGGACAGCACTGCTTTGGAGAATAACCAGGATATAACCACTATTTAAATAGAAACAATAAAACTGTATGATAGACATATTCAGAGTAAAATTCATAAAGCAAAGAGCTGATTCTGATAAAAATGATTTTACTAAGGTAAATTAGAAAAATATAACTTTGCTCTACGAAAAACTGATCAAAAAATTTTTCTTCAGAGTTTGTCAATATTTTTTTCTTAATGAAAATTCATTAATATTGATATAAAATTGATAAAAGTAGGTGTTCTGAAATATAGGGTCAAAACGTCCTTAAGGCCAAATATCAAGGTAAACATTTCTTACACTCACTATCAGAATCCAAGCTAGTCCTGAGCTAATGTGACAGAGAACTGATAATTGCACCTCCCTGTAGGCATGCGCAGGGCTGTTTCAAATCTAAGCAGTAGTTTAAATGTGTTCTGATATTTGAGTCCAGATAAAAACTTCAGAATTTGGGGGAAGAAGATGGAAGGCTGGTATGAACTAGGAAAGGTTTAGAAAAGCAGAGACTTCAGGGTCCCTACAGACTGTCTTTCTCTCCAGGCATCCTGCTCTCCTCCCATCAGAGATTCTGACTATTTCTCCACAAAAACTGAACACTAATTCAAACCACAATTTGAAATCAGAACTGTATTTATATAGGCAGGCAAAACATGGTTATTCAGAAATGGGTTTTTAGCCAAATACAATATCCCCATGAAATAATCTAACATGCCAAAAAAATACTTTGAAATTTAAAGAGAGAGAGAGAGAAAGAGAAGACAGTGGGTACACTTTAAGGTTGAGCAATAGTCTAGTTTTAATCTAAGATTTAATCTAGTTTAGGGGAGAATTACTCTGAAAAAATGACATCCTAAGACCTGCCACATCAGAGCCTCTTCTCCATAATGCCTAGAGATGGCACTAGGACCTTCACCACTTGATTTAATCAAAACTGAACACAAAATGCAATTGACTATAAAAGATTAGTACATGATAACTTTACATTTTACTTGTGATTAGTAACACTGCACTGTAAAACCATCTTCAGAGAACATCATAAAATTAAGTCACAAAGTCATTTGGCTACTTCATGACTAAGCTCTCTTGGACTAGACTTAAGTCAGTGTAAACAGTCACTTGACTTAGAAGAGAATGGTGGTTGGAGAAGGACTTGAGAGTCAGACCTGCATATGAATTATGGTTCTGTCATAAGACTTGGGGATAAATCATGGTTCTGTCACCAGGGTCAGTTTGTTGCCTATTTTATAAAAAGAGCATGTTTATCTCCAAGGATTTTTAGAGAGTCTGAGTGATTAAATGTAACTTTTTTAAACAGAAAAGTATTATATAAAGCATAAATACTCATTCATCTGATTTCATAAAATATCATCTCTCAATCTAGCCCTAAACAATATCAATAATATGTATCAATTTGATTAACATTAACATTGATATTTTCCCTCCATTTTGCCTTGTCATCTTTACAAACCAAGGCAAAGGAACCAAAAGAAGGAAGAAAAAAATGTTAAAAAAAAAAGATTATTCTACCTATGGATATTTCAGTAAATAAACTGGGTCTTGTGTCTTACTTGCACTGGTTACCTAAAAAAGAAATTTAAATTTAATAAATTAAAGCTGATATAAGAAAATTCACCTCTTCATTTAATTAAATTAATCAAAGCAAAAACTAGCAATTAGATGCTTTCTTATCACAGAATTTCAACTTATACTAGATCATTTTCATTAGAACACCAAATAGTATTTTTAAAAGCTTGGCCAGAGTGGCTCAGTTTTTTGGAGCATCAATCCCATGCACTGAAAGGCAGATGGTTTGGTTCCTTGCAGGGGCACCCACTTGGGTTGTGGGTTCAATCCTCAGTAGGGATGTATACAGAGAGCAACCGATTGATGTTTCTCTCCCTTTCCCCCAACCACTTCTCTCTAAAGCATTTCCTCCAGTGAGGATTAAAAAAATTTAAAGGGCATTTTATAATTTATTTATACCTGAAGACAGTTTGCTTTGTCTTTTAACTCAATTCAACATATCTGACAGAATTTTAAGGGGTAGAATACATGCTGAATATTTTCTT